TCTCCTGACATTTTGCCTGGATTTGTGACTGATCTCTTATTTATTTATTTAAAACTTTATATCCCAATCCTCTCAACCTCCATAGAGGGACTCAGACTGGCTTACAGCAAGGATTCAATGCTGATAGTACAATCTGCTAGGTCTCTTCAGAAGTCTCCATAGACTCAGACAAGCTTACAAATGCCTGGAGTGTGGACAGAGCTTCATTAGCAGTACACATCTACGTTCACATCAAAGGACTCACAGTGGGGAGAAACCCTATAAATGTTTGGAGTGTGGACACAGCTTTGCTAAAAGTGGAAAATCTACGTGTGCATCAAAGGACTCACACTAGGGAGAAACCCAATAAATCCTTAGAGTGTGGACACAGCTTCACTAACAGTGGAGAATGTGCAAGCTTCAATGAGAGTAGATGTGCACCTAATTTCTCTCCTAACTACAAGCACAATTAAAGTTAATAGTACAATCTGCTAGGTCTCTTCAGAAGTCTGTTGGAAATGAGGCAAATCGAGTGTGTGTGTATATGTGTATGTGTGTGTGTAGGTAAAGATAAAGGTTTTCTCCTGACATGTCTGACAGGTCGGTGTTCATCTCCATTTCTAAGCCAAAGAGTTGGCATTGTCCATAGACACTTCCAAGGTTATGTGGCCAACATGACTGCATGGAGCACTGTTACCTTCCTGTCGGAGCAGTACCTATTGATCTACTCACATTTGCATGTTTTTTCAATTGGTAGGTTGTCAGAAGCTGGAGCTAACAGTGGGAGCTCACCCCACTCCCTGGATTTGAACTGCCGACCTTTTGATTAGAAATTTCAGCAGGTTTAACCTGCTGCACCACCGGGGACTCTGTCTTATATGCAAATACTTGTATTCCAAAATCTGGGGTGGGGGGGAACCTGAAATACTTAGAGTTCTGGGCATTTCTGATATGAGATACTCAACCTGTACAACATAGTATAAGCAAAGTCTGTGAACTGAAAATGTGCATTTCCATGTACAACATATATATACCAACTGCTAGGTTGGCAGAAGCTGGGAAGCTCATGCCGCTCCCCGGATTTGAACCAGCAACCTTTTGGTCAACAAATTTAGCAGCTCAGCCCTTTAACCCACTATCTATCTTTCTATCTATCTATCTATCTATCTATCTCTCTCTCTCTCTCTCTCTCTATCTATCTCTCTCTATCTATCTATCTATCTATCTATCTATCTATCTATCTATCTATTAGGCCTGTTTGATCAAGAAAAAATTTGTTTCTAAAATCGATTTGTAATTGGGGTGTTTTTTTGTTTCGATATTTAAAATATTTACAAAACTTTCCAAAAAAAAGTTTTGTATTTACAAAATTTCGTAAATATTTACAAAACATTTTGTAAAGATGGCGGACCCCCGCGCATGCGCAAAAACACTTCCGAAGCTTCGTTATTGGGGCGGGGTCGATTCGTTAAGGATATAACGAATCGATTCGTTAAAATGGCGGACGCGATCGCGCATGCGCAAAAGCGGCTTCCGAAACGTCGTTATTAAATACGATTCGATTCGATATTAGATAATAACGAATCGATTCGTTAAAGCGAATATTTTGTATTTTTTTAAGAATAAAAGGCAGGTATTTTTAGAAAATATTCAAAAATGGAAACTTAACCAAAAACTGGCCCTGATGTGGACCAAACACAGCCACGAGACAGGGCAAGTGAGAGCACATACCAACAGAAGAGTATTTTCTTTTTTTGGAATATTTTTGGTTTTTTTTAAGAATAAAAGGCAGGTATTTTTAGAAAATATTCAAAAATGGAAACTTAACCAAAAACTGGCCCTGATGTGGACCAAACACAGCCACGAGACAGGGCAAATGAGAGCACACAGCAACAGAAGAGTCTCTCTTTTTTTAGAATATTTTTTGTATTTTTTTAAAGAATAAAAGACAGGTATTTTTAAAAATATTCAAAAATGGAAAATTAACCAAAAACTGGCCCTGATGAACAGCTAACACAGCCACGAGACAGGGCAAGTGAGAGCACACACCAACAGAAGAGTATTTTCTTTTTTTGGAATATTTTTGGTTTTTTTAAGAATAAAAGGCAGGTATTTTTTAAAAATATTCAAAAATGGAAAATCAACCCAAAAATGAATGGCCCTGATGAACAGCTAACACAGCCAAAAGACAGGGCAGTCGAGAGCAACACCAACAGAAGAGTCTTCCAACAAAGAAGAGTCTTTTTTCCAACAATGCAAGTCACAGTCAGACTTTAAAGCCAACCCAAAGCAAGCCAAGCCAAGCAAGCAGCCCTCCCGTCCCGGACCTCTCTCCTCCCTCGCCTCCGCGCAAATGAGCTCTGCGGCCACGCGGAGCCGCTTTTAAAGGCCTTCCCGGCCAATCGGAAACAGCCACGCTGCACTGCTTGGGTGCTTGGGAGCGCCGGATTGGCTCCCAGGCACCAGCAGCCTCCATCCCATTAACGAAACGGGCGGAAGCTCGTAAAATCCATGGGGTTGCAGGTTCGTTATTTATAAACCCTTCCGGGTTTGAAAATGTGTTTTGATATCGCTTCGGAAATGCCAAAAATAACGAATGTTTTACGAATAACGAAATTAACGAACGAAACCGCACAGGCCTACTATCTATCTGTCTATCTATCTATGGAATGTCCAGGGTGAGAGAAAGAACCCTTGTCTGTTTGAAGCAAGTATGAATGTTCTCCCACCTTGGACATTCCATAGATAGATAGATAAGATAGATAGATAGACTTCACTTGCCTCATTTCCAACAGACTTCTGAACAAACCTCTGAGGATGCCAGCCACAGATGCAGGCAAAACGTCAGTAGAGAATACTACTGGAACATGGTCATACAATCCGGAAAACTCACAATAACCCAGTGATTCTGGTCATGAAAGCCTTTGACAACACATCATCACCCATTCTTCATGCTGGCAACATGGGTTCTGGTGTCAACAAAGATGCCTACCATGGTCAGAAGTTCTAATAGAACCCTTTGGCCAACAAGGATTGGAAACAGCTGCAACATGGCCATAATCCACCCCTTTCCCTGCAATAATGAGTTCAGGGACAGGGTCACACAACCAGTATCTTTTTGGACAATGGGTTATGTTGAATTGAACCTGATCCAGCTATCCAGACTTCTCTGAAACTGTGGAATACTCCAGAGTATCTAACAAAGTCTGGAGTATCCCCCAATAATGTCCAAAATGGGGCAAAACTGGTGTAAACCCAAAATCCCTAGGATAAGGCATCAAAAATAACTATTTGTCATTTGAGGGATGGTGTTTTCTTTTCTTTTCTTTTCTTTTCTTTTGTGTGTGTATGTGTGTGTGTGTTTTGGCATAGACAACTCCAGGGGCTCAGTTTATAATGCAAGAGCATTCTAGTTGGAACTGTGAAAAAGAAATTGAATGATACATATTTATTTTTACATGCCTTTGTTCTTTATCTGGAGTACTTATTATTTATTATTTCTTTGTTTCCAATATTTCTATCCCACCATTCTCAGTTCTCAGGGTGGCTTACAAACTGGCCACAATTCGAAGCCTCAATATAATACAAATATAAACACAAATACCAACAGTTTAAAACAGTAAATAAAACACTAAGTAAAAACACATTAAAAACATTGTCATCAACCATATAGCCAATTTCAGTCCGGTTCAACATCCAAAGTGCTGTCATGCTCCCTGTCCAAAGGCCTGGCCCCAGAGTCATGATTTAACCTTCTTCCTAAAAGAAAGGAGGGAAGAAGCCGACCTGATCTCGCTGGGGAGCGAGTTCCACAGGCGTGGGGCCACTGCGGGGAAGGCCCTGTCCCTTGTCTCTGCCAAGCGCACTTGCAAGGCTGGCCGGACCGAGTGCGGGGCCTCCCCGGATGATCTTAAGCTACGAGGCGGGATGTAAAGGGAGATATGTTCGGACAGGTACTTGCACGTTGTTCTTTAGCTAGGAAGACCCCCAGATAGTTGATTTGATGATTCCCTGCCTTTGAAATTGCAATCAAAAGAAGCGACAAAACAGTGGTAGCTGGGATAGAGGGGAAAGCTTTCCATTCATTGCTGGGACTGAAGTATGATGAAGCTATACACGCCTGGCTTGAGAGCAGTACGTGTGGAAAAGATCTTGGAGTCCTCGTGGACAACAAGTTAAACATGAGCCAACAATGTGATGTGACAGCAAAAAAAAAAGCCAATGGGATTTTGGCCTGCATCAATAGGAGCATAGTGTCTAGATCCAGGGAAGTGATGCTACCCCTCTATTCTGCTTTGGTTAGACCACACCTGGAATATTGTGTCCAATTCTGGGCACCACAGTTCAAGAGAGATATTGACAAGCTGGAATGTGTCCAGAGGAGGGCGACTAAAATGATCAAGGGTCTGGAGAACAAGCCCTATGAGGAGCGGCTTAAGGAGCTGGGCATGTTTAGCCTGAAGAAGAGAAGGCTGAGAGGAGATACGATAGCCATGTATAAATATGTGAGAGGAAGCCACAGGGAGGAGGGAGCAAGCTTGTTTTCTGCTTCCTTGGAGACTAGGACGCAGAACAATGGCTTCAAACTAGAAGAGAGGAGATTCCATCTGAACATGAGGAAGAACTTCCTGACTGTGAGAGCCGTTCAGCAGTGGAACTCTCTGCCCGGAGTGTGGTGGAGGCTCCTTCTTTGGAAGCTTTTAAACAGAGGCTGGATGGCCATCTGTCAGGGGTGATTTGAATGCAATATTCCTAATTCTTGGCAGAATGGGTTTGGACTGGATGGCCCATGAGGTCTCTTCCAACTCTTTGATTCTATGACTCTATGATTGTTCTTTATTCTGAGACCATAGCAGTAACTCGAAAGAAATTCAAATAGTCATGTCTTTAGTAATTGGCTTCCTCATCGTAAGATAACCTAACAGTTGCAAAATGTGTTGGTCCTGAAAGATGGGCAATGTACAGCAACAAGAACAAGGCCATTGTACTTGATGATGATAATGTCTTCTTTTGTTTGACAGTGACTTCTTTGGAACGAAGCCTCAAATCCCTTGGGACACCAAGCGACACACCAGAATTGCGGGATGCACTGTGAGTCTCTTCCAATGATTATGATTATCTGCTACACTCTGTTCTATCAATTTCCAGCCTGGAAAAATCCTTATTGTCCTTGTATTTTTGGCAATCCACATAGACCCTGCTTGTGTAGCATACCCATCATGATGATATTATCTCCAGTGGCCAAACATGTCCCCTGGCCAAATATACTTCGATATGAGCTTACTTGTGAAAACTAGTCCTCCCATTTGAATTATTGGGGGTCAGCTGGTACTGACCACTTTGCTCCCCCTCCCTCCTTTTCCCATCATGTATGTGTGTATATACGTATTGCCATCTAAGGTGCCTTTAGTCAATACTTAGGAAGATCGATGCTTTTGAGCTGTGGTGTTGGAGGAAAGTTCTGAGAGTGCCTTGGACTGCGAGAAGATCCAACCAGTCCATCCTCCAGGAAATAAAGCCCGAATGCTCACTGGAGGGAAAGATACTAGAGACAAAGTTGAAGTACTTTGGCCACATCATGAGGAGACAGGAAAGCCTAGAGAAGACAATTATGCTGGGGAAAGTGGAAGGCAAAAGGAAGAGGGGCCGACCAAGGGCAAGATGGATGGATGGCATCCTTGAAGTGACTGGACTGACCTTGAGGGAGCTGGGGGTGGTAACGGCCGACAGGGAGCTCTGACGTGGGCTGGTCCATGAGGTCACGAAGAGTCGGAGACGACTGAACGAATGAACAACCATATTCATCTATGGAGGTGTTGTAATATTGATATACTGATCTCTGATTACCCGCATAAACATTCCATTAAAAATATACCAGTAGCGAATTTGAAGTTGGAAATTTGACTGTGATCAAGTCTACTTTCAGCCAGAAATGATAATATGAGCTGCTTTATTTTGTCGTGTTAGAGCAACCAGTCCATTATATTACATTTCTAACAGAACAAAGCAAACAAACAGGCAAATACAAAACTTGTGAGTTTGGTAGTTGACTAAATGTCCTTTGACCAGTATCTGGCCACTTGGAGTGCTTCCGGTGTTGCTGCAAGGAGGTCCTCCATTGTGCATGTGGCAGGGCTCAGGTTGCATTGCAGCAGGTGGTCAGTGGTTTGCTCTTCTCCACACTCGCATGTCGAGGATTCCACTTTGTAGCCCCATTTCTTAAGGTTGGCTCTGCATCTTGTGGTGCCAGCGCAGTCTGTTCAGCGCCTTCCAAGTCACCCAGTCTTCTGTGTGCCCAGGGGGGAGTCTCTCATTTGGTATCAGCCATTGGTTGAGGTTCTGGGTTTGAGCCTGCCACTTTTGGACTCTCGCTTGCTGAGGTGTTCCAGTGAGTGTCTCTGTAGATCTTAAAAAAACTATTTCTAGATTTAAGTCGTTGACGTGCTGGCTGATACCCAAACAGGGGATGAGCTGGAGATGTCTCTGCCTTGGTCCTTTCACTATTGGCTGCTACTTCCTGGCGGATGTCAGGTGGTGCAATACCGGCTAAGCAGTGTAATTTCTCCAGTGGTGTAGGGCGCAGACACCCCGTGATAATGCAGCATGTCTCATTAAGAGCCACATCCACTGTTTTAGTGGTGAGATGTGTTCCACACTGGGCATGCATACTCAGCAGCAGAGTAGCACAGCACAAGGGCAGATGTCTTCACTGTATCTGGTTGTGATCCCCAGGTTGTGCCAGTCAGCTTTCGTATGATATTGTTTCTAGCACCCACTTTTTGCTTGATGTTCAGGCAGTGCTTCTTGTAGGTAAGAGCACGGTCCAGAGTGACTCCCAGGTATTTGGGTGTGCTGCAATGCTCCAGTGGGATTCCTTCCCAGGTGATCCTCAGAGCTCGGGATGCTTCTCTGTTCTTGAGATGAAAGGCACATGTCTGTGTTTTAGATGGATTAGGGATCAGCTGGTTTTCCCTGTAATAGGCAGTAAGAGCACCGAGAGCTTCGGAGAGCTTCTGTTCAACCATCTCAAAGCTCCCTGCTTGAGCAGTAATGGCACGATCATCAGCATAGATGAAGCTCTCTGTCCCTTCTGGCAGTGGCTGGTCATTTGTGTAGATGTTGAACATGGATGGAGCAAGCACGCTCCCCTGAGGCAGGCCATTGAGCTGCTGACCCTGATAATCTCCCACTAACATGTTTGGGCCTCCCCAAACTCTCCTTGTTGATGACAGATCATGATTTTAAAATATCTGAAACTCATTTGGATTTTTGGACATAATGTTTTGTAAATGGCAGAATGTTTTGTGAATCATTCCCAACATATTGTGTTGGGATAGCAGACAACACAAGGTGAGTATCTCTTTCTTTCTTTGTCTAGACAGGCCCCTAGCCCTCTGTCCCTCTTACTTCATTTGGCTTTTCATACATTTAACTCTATGGTTGCTCACTGACATCAAATTGATTTTGGCTTATGGTGATCCTGTGAACGAGAGACCTCCAGGTTGTCCTTTTATCAAGAACTCTGCTCAGGACTCGCAAACTCAGGGCAGCCAATTTTTTTTTTCTTGTCAGGAGTGACTTGAGAAACTGCAGGTCACTTCTGGTGTGAAAGAATTGGCTGTTTGCAAGGATGTTGCCCAGGAGACTCCCAGATGCTTTAGTATTTTGTCTCATGCCCCCGCATGAGAAGCTGTAGCTGACAGATGGGAGCTCAGCCCACTTCCCAGATTTGAACCACCAATCTTTTGGTCAGCAGTCCTGCTGGCATGGGATTTGTAGTGTCTTTTTAAGCAATACACAGCAAACAAAGAAAATAACAATCAGCCAGCCCTGAAAGCTTTTGGGGCCTTCTAAGCTGATTTCAAAGCAATGGTATTCCCTGAAGTCAAAGCCATGGTATTCCCTGTAGTAACCTACGGATGTGAGAGCTGGACCTTAGGGAAGGCTGAGCGAAGGAAGATCGATGCTTTTGAGCTGTGGTGTTGGAGGAAAGTGCTGAGAGTGCCTTGGACTGTGAGAAGATCCAACCAGTCCATCCTCCAGGAAATAAAGCCCGACTGCTCACTGGAGGGAAAGATACTAGAGACAAAGTTGAAGTACTTTGGCCACATCATGAGGAGACAGGAAAGCCTAGAGCAGACAATTATGCTGGGGAAAGTGGAAGGCAAAAGGAAGAGGGGCCGACCAAGGGCAAGATGGATGGATGGCATCCTTGAAGTGACTGGACTGACCTTGAAGGAGCTGGGGGTGGTGACGGCCGACAGGGAGCTCTGGCGTGGGCTGGTCCATGAGGTCACGAAGAGTCGGAGACGACTGAACGAATGAACAACAACAACAACAAGCTGATTTCACAAATTAGGTAAGGAGAGACTTGAAAGTATGGGATTTGTAGTATCTTTTTAGACAACTCACAGCAAACAAAGAAAATAACAAACAGCCCTGCCCTCTTTGCCTTGGAAGCTGATTTCAGAACTTTAGGAAGGAGAGTTTGTGTTCAAAGAGTAGTTTGAATTGATGGGAGATCTAGTTCTTTTGAGGCAATGTGCAGCACAAACTAAAAAACGCTGAGGTCAGATAGACCTGCTACCACGTTGGCTTTTAAAAATGTTGGAGTGAGTGCTTTGGTTCCTCCGTGTTGCATTTTCCAGCAACACACTACCCTTGCAGTGTCCACCCATCCCAAACCCGAACAGCAACAACACACAAGTGGCAAGGCAGGCTGCCCAGTCAGCCAGCCAGGCACAGCAGGCAACAGCCCTTTTCCCAGTCCTTCTCTGCTTGCTTGCTTGCCTGCTGTCCTCTTCAACCAACCTCCCTTCAACACAACTTCCCTTCCCTTTCCCCTCTCCCTTCTTGGCTCCGAATGAGGCTCTGAGCCATGTGCTCCCCCAAAACTTCTCCCCTGATTGGCTGGGAGGCAAGGAGCCTCCCAGCATGCTTGTTGCATACCTCCCAGCAGGCTAGTAGAAGGCTGAAAATACGCTGAATCATTTCCGACTCACTTCCTGAGTCATAACAAAAATGGCAGAAAAAGCTTCGGAAGGGCAAAGGGACTTCCGGTTTTCTTAAAAATGTCAAAATTGCTTCAAAAAGGTAATTTAAAAACCCTGCTATATGCCTGCAAGATATGGACAGTCTACAGACGTCACATGCAACTCCTGGAACGATTCCATCAGCGTTGCCTCCGGAAAATCCTGCAAATCTCTTGGGAAGACAAGCAGACAAACTTCAGTATGCTGGAAGAAGAAAAGACCATCAGCATTGAAGCGATGGTCCTCCTCCATCAACTCTGCTGGACCGGCCACGTTGTCCGGATGCCCAACCACTGTCTCCCAAAGCAGTTGCTCTACTCCGAACTCAAGAATGGAAAATGGAATGTTGGTGGGCAGGAAAAGAGATTTAAAGATGGGCTCAAAGCCAACCTTAAAAACTCTGGCATAGACACTGAGAACTGGGAAGCCCTGGCCCTTGAGTGCTCCAGTTGGAGGTCAGCTGTGACCAGCAGTGCTGCAGAATTTGAAGAGGCACGAATGGAGGGCGAAAGAGAGAAACGTGCCAAGAGGAAGGCGCGTCAAGCCAACCCCGACTGGGACCGCCTTTCACCTGGAAACCGATGCCCTCACTGCGGGAGAACATGCAGGTCAAGAATAGGGCTCCACAGTCACCTACAGACCCACCGCCAGGAATCCGGTGAATCCCAGATCAAGAAATGAGACCATAAGATTAAATCCACCACACTGGACTGTGGGGAAAAAAAACAATCCTTTTTATTGATGAAAAATGGTCACAAAAGAAAGGTAGATGCAAAGTCAAAAAGCCACAGTAGAAACTCAGCAGTCAGGAAAATCTCTGAGCTAGAGCAAAATTCCAAAAGCAACAATACAAAAACCTGGAACCTGTTAGCATTTCACTAACCGTACTTGGAAACTAGAAGCCTCTGGGAATGCAGGCCATGGGAAACGGGAAATCTGCCAAGGTGATGCCTCAGTCTAAACGATGCTTGATCTAATGGGACAGCCTGGGGAGAGGCCCCTTAAACTAAAGAAATTGTTTCTTGACACCTCCAGGCTTTGAAGCCTGAGCCTCCCTTT